GTGGCATGTTTGTAAAACGAGAAAATTCACAAAATGTTAAAAATTAATTAAAACATGAAGCATCAAAGTGAGTGCTTGCGTAGTGCGCGTATCGATCTGGTGAACACGATTCCCATTGAACGACTCATCTAAAATCAAAATCGTTGTAAATGAGTATTTTTTAACTCAAAATCTACAAAGTGGAACTCGTTCATTAAGATCGCATGACAATAAACAATTTTATTAAACATTTCCCACAGAATTATTTCAGGAAAAACGTTCAAAGTTGGTATTTGTTGTATAACGTCACGGGTTTTTATTAAAATTTTTCGACCGAATTCCAATTTTGCTTTTAGATGAGTCGTTCAATGAGAATCGTGTTCATCTCACCGACGCGCGCACTACGCGAGCACACACTTTAATGTCTTGTGTTTTAATTAATTTGTAATATTTTGTGAATTTTTTTGTTTTAAAATACATTTTACATCCTTGTGAAAGAACTATTCAAACAACAAATGATTTGAGTTATTACTTGCCCTATACTCCAACATAAAAGAAATCGTTCATTTTAGCTACCTAATACCTATGTACTCCCTTAACCCCTTCGCGTCCACGCGAAACGTCCAGTTGTTGGGCCAAAGTAGCCGAGGTAATTTTGCTTATGAATCCGTACTTGAAAGAATAAATAAATTAATTAATTCTATTACTCAATAAGTAATTCATTTATATAAAATGTTTAGAATACAGTAGTATATGTTGTTTTCTTTTAAATGTATTGCAATCATCCTCACTATCTGATTGATCTCTACCAACCATTTCGACATCTCTTTCGTACAACAAATTTTCACTCGTACTTGACTGACTTTATATGTATAATAGACTCAAGACTAGTGATGGGTAACCGAGCTTTTCGAACGTATACGAATAGTAGGGGAAAAGCTCGAAGCTCAGTCGAGCCGAGTAGCTCGTTCGAGTGAACGAGCTCGGATGACAAATTTATGTTCTCAGAGGAGACCCGAGGCTCTGGCACTCGAAGCTCGAATCCTCGGCGCGTAGAGATGTTATCTGGCCGCCGGCAACACACGGAATGAACCACCCATGAATAAAACTTTAAATTTACTCCTTCCTGTGTACTTTCTTAAAAATGTTATGAATATATGTAGGAGATTCTCTTGATGAAAATATATTTAATAACATAGAATTCGTATTAAGGGAAATATGGGACAGTTTTGCCTTTTCGATGAAGTAAAAATAACTGTTTCTTATATTTGCTTACAGATTCTTAATATTCTTGTAATATTGTAACTTGCAAACATTCATACTGCTTCATAGCAGCGGTTGTTACGTTCGAACAAAACTCCAATTTAGCCATTCACTTTTCCCGTATGTCTTGTCCGTTTGACTTCAATTGTGTACCTTTTTAATCTTTTCGACATCCTTGTACAATAAACGAAGGTTCCAACATTTGGTCGGCAGCCAGTTCCGCTCGCGCAGTACCACCGAGGCGAAGAACAATATCGCTATAAACTTGTACCATTGGGGGACTCCGACAACCCGCAACCTTGGCGCGGTCATAACACCCTTACATCTTTTTTGCAATATTAAAAAATAAGGTACAATATTGAAAGACGAAAACTATGAAAGGAAATGAACGTATACATTATTGTAGGAAATTGAATACGAAAAACGTAGTGCTGCCAGAATGTAATAACCGCTGCTATTAAATGTAGAGAATGTAGGATTACGAACTTTTCGCTCCAAAGAACGCATATACATATGTATATGCCCTCAAAAAGTGGACCGGTCGCGCATATTTTGTGCTAAGTGCGTCGGAGCGAAAGGGATAATACTTATCCATGTACAGTTGTACTATAAATATCACTTGCCTTAACCCTAATCCATACCTTGTGTCAATTTGACACAGTTTTCTCCTAAGAAATAACGTTATTCTTTAAAATAAAAAAGAATTTGCACATTTAACTATTTAGAACTTCATTATATTAATTTTTACCACTGGATCAATTTGACACCGAGAGGCATATTAAATTGGGAAAATGAGGGACGGATGAGGGTTAACGTTTTCCTTCGCCGTTGCTATTTCTTCACTCACTTAATCAGCCACCTAGTCGGAATATTACAACTGTGTCCGTATGTTGGCCGACAGCCGGTCTCACCGATGCGACGCGCCGAACAAGACCATAAAACCGTACCCTCCGAATAGGCTAAGAAAGTCAGAATGGTCAAATTTTGTATTTATTGGTTAAAATGATTGTATTAGGTTTATGTCTTAATGTTACATACCATTATATTGTTTTATGCATTTTACTGTACACTTGTTTCTATACTATATTTTGTCATAATTAATTTCTTCTCTTTGCTTCTTATGTTATCTTTGGACTATGTTTCAATCAAAATAATTGTATTATGTTTATATTTTAATGATCAATGTATTAATGCACTGCATTGCTTCATATTATGTTATATTATGTTATGTTTTATTCATACGTTATGTCGCGATACGAATTCTGTGTTATTAAATATGGTTCGATTTATGGTGCGATCGTTGCGTCCTCATACCTGCCACAGGGGCACAACGTTTTGTATGTGTGTTCCTTCGCGGGTTGCATGGCACGGGAGTAAGTATAAATATATATATCTATTACACTATCGTATTTAGTGCGCGTTTGGCTAATTCTATTCCTTTAATCTCGATCCACCTTCATTTAATCTAACATTTTCATCAAGAGAATCTCCTACATTTATTCATAACATTTTTAAGAAAGTACACTGAAAGGAGTAAAAGTTTAAATTTTTATTCATGGGTGATTCATTCCGTGTGTTACAATGTAACCCGAGGGCCCGAGGGTCGGTTGCCGGCGGCCAGATAACATCTCTACGCGCCGAGGCAACGAGCTTCGAGCTTCGAGTGCCAGAGCCTCGGGTCTCCCCTGAGAACATAAATCTGTCATCCGAGCTCGTTCGAGTAGCTCGAACAAGCTCGAAGTATCAGCTCGTTCGAAGAAGCTCGAACACCAAGGCTCGGTTACCCATCACTACTCAAGACCTTTCTTTTGCGATTGTTGGCTTCTAACGAATCTGCTTCGTCCTGAAACGACCGGCTCTAAATATGCATATACACTACCTTGTGAAGCGATAACACCGACGCGAACGAAGCGAATACGGCGAGCGTAAGATCATTCTTGAAACGCAAACACTTCATCGGTAGTATATTATACGATTTCTCCGAATGACATTCTCAAATTCGTTATAGAAAGGGCGTATAAAGAACACAGAAAAAAATTATTACACACAGACAAAAATTTATGATAGGATAAACGTCACAAATAGCTTAAAAATCCCGTCATAATCCAATATGGTTCTTAAACGTGATGACTGGTGAGATCCGTCATATGACACGAAGGGATTAAGTGATTCACACTATACATATAGGAGACCCGGACAAAACCGGAACATTAAAGATAAAATCTCATAACTTTCACATTATTAATGTAAAAAAAAAGTGCAATTAACTTTCATTAAAATAAACTCTTTATCAAATAATAATAGTACATATTCAATTTTTTTCATAGAAAAACCGTTCACGAGCCGACGACTGAACGTTGGGAGCCCACAAAAAGGTTACATTCCCGGGTGTCGGGGAGACAATACTAATGCAACGATAAAACCTTTTTATTCTTGATTCTTTATTAATGAAACTTTCATAAACAAATTGATGAGACTTTTCTGATTAAAATGATACCAAACACGACGCAATTTGGGTCATATTTACTTATGATTTATCAGAATCTATAATGAATTAATATGAACTATTAACAGTTTCTATATGAGTTGTGAAGGATTTTATTATAACACATCAGGTTCGTCACAATGCGACATACATACTCACCCGTGCTGCGAACGGACAACACGCGAAACAAAAGAAAAAAGGATATACCAACTAAACAAAAGAATTCCGCTCGTACATAACCGCGTCGCTCAAAATATCCTTGCCATACCAACATGAGTTCTAATTTGTTTATGATAGTACTAGTTTGCACAACGAGACGTTGTTCCTCGCTCGTTTATCGCTCGCTAATACTCTATCTCACTTACTCTTAATGCGTCTCGTTATCTATTCTCCTCGAATGGTAAGCTAAGCAGAACCAGCTATAAAAGGGCTATTCTCTGACTAGAAACGATTCTTCGTTTCAACATTCGGGATAAATTTTTCCGAAAGTCGAGATATTTTTAAGCAATCCTCTAGAGTAGGACCCCGTATAACGCGGTACTTCTACAACGTGAACGAAAAAGTGCGCTACTGTCTCCATATAACGCGATTAAAAAATTACTGAAAATGACTCATTTATAATGTGGAAACGTACATATATGCATTCATTGAATTGACTCGACAATCAGTTTTGCATTAACTCTTGTGCGACAAGGAGGGCTTGTTTAAAGTATTTCTTTGTCGGTGGAATTATAGATAATGTCGATGGAACGTAATTTTAAGCAATTCTAACAGTGATTAGATTTTAGTTTTACATGCCTTTTTTACTTTAAGTTATTCTGTACATATAATGAAAAAAAACTTTACGTTTTTATTGTTCTAACATGAAATAACATGCATATTGTTTTCTGTTATATTAAAAAAAACTGTATTATATAGTTTTAACTTTTTAGGGTCTGGGTTCCATATAACACGAAATTTGTAATAACGTGGAACGTATCCTCCGCACTATAAGGGGTCCTGTATTTTTACAGATGCTGATTTAAATTCGCAATTTTCACATTCATACAGTCTGATTTTATTTACAAAATATTTCAGCTGTTTCGATGAATACATTTCTCTTTGGGTAACTGAATTTAATAACAGAATATTTTTCAAATAACTGAGTTGAAGATAACTACACTTGACTTGGTCTTTTAAACTTAAACGAATGGACAGTATACTCCATAGTTCTTCGATTAAAAAAGTTTGCCCATTAAGTTAAAACCTTCTTAACGTTTAAATTTGATTTCAGGACGTTCATTGCCAGTATTATGCGTCCATCTTTTTCATTGGTACGGATTGCTGCAACATTTCAACTTGGACGTGGTAACGGTGTGGAAATTGTTCGGTAAGTGCAGTTACCCATCAGCACCGGCAGTTTTAGGAAATTTTGAGAGAATATATACGATTGAAATCGAAATGAGAACATATGTAAATGAAATCGTGGAGAAACGCGCTGTATACAGTTATTAATTCGTAGCAAAACGTTATAATCTTATTTGAATTTGTAAGAGCATATTTGTACATTAGATTGACTATATTCGTATTTAATTGGGGGCAGGAAAATTAATTTTTCAGAACCTAATCAACTCGATACTCTATAGTGAATTAATCTGTACTGGATAAACCATGGTACTTCACCATTTTTGTAACGTATATGTTTTCGCCCAGTACACTCAGTATGTTTTAGGAAAGTATCGCATTAACAATTAATTACACTTAAATTTTAAAGTATAACATTAAAATTATTTAAACAGATATATAGATAGATAGATAGATAGCTATAAAGTATATTCTATATTTCAGCCTCACAGCCAAAAAATTTGGATTTGCTTTACAACTTATCATAACCTTACAATACTAACCTAATCAAGCATTCTTCTCATTCACTTTTTCCTTCCATTCCCTTTCTATCTTAAATTCTAATCTATTTCTTACTATTTATTTCTTATCACCCTATTACATAAGTTTCTATTTCCTCCCTCCTTTTGTTTCAAATTCCTGAGCCATTTCTTTATTCTTCCATTCACCACGTCTTCTATTCTACCTCCTCTTTTTATATTCGCATACATTATTTAAGTATTATATGTATACATAGTAGATATAAATTTTTGGTTGCCCCCAACTGAACTTGCACCTATTATAGAATCGGTCTTATTATATAAAAATTCATTATATTGCCCCCAACTGAATACGAATACAGTGAACATTATACAGGGTATTTGACTACTAGTGGGAAAAAATTGAAAGGGTGATTCTTTCAGGCAAAATAAGACGAAAATCAAGAATAACGAAATTGCGACAAATGCTTCGTTTATTAGTTATAAGCGTGTAAAAATTGACCCAAATGATGGCAATCCGCACGCACGCAGTGTCAGCGGACCACGGTTCGTAAGAGGCGTACAGTCACTTTAAAGACTCAACGACGTACAGGAAAAGTAGGTAGAACAGCTGTCTACTACCCCGTAGAAGATGTCGATAACTTGTGACCGCGGTATTTGAGTCGAATCCACTTGTATCGCATTAACTCTGATTACTCGATAAAATTCACAAGAAATGTAAATATCTTCTTACGAATATTATCGAGTAGAGAGGGTTAATGCCGCCTCTAGTTGTCACGTACAACAACTTTACTGTCCACGAGTGTCCATGAAATTAATCCGCACATGCATGTACACCATAAAAGTCCGCAAAAAATGTTCACACACTGCGTGATTAATTAAACCCGCGTGCGGTTTCTCCGTTGCGTTGAACACTCTACACGTTAAACAGAACTAACACTCAAAATAATTAATTCATAACTATTTAACACTAATTTTTAACCTGCAATAATGAATAAAACCTACAATATTTAATAAAACCTACAATAATTAATAAAATCTACAATAATTAATTTGCACTATTTATAACAATGACGTACGCGACACTATTAAATAATCACTACGGAATCGCTAAATAAACTAAAACTTAGTTTTTCGAACATGAACTCGATTTGCTCGAAGAATGCAAAGGGGGCTCCGTTCGGAAAGGACAACTGATATTGTTGAACTGATCCTTCCTCGTTAGGAACGATGTGGCGTAATAGGTCGATCCCCACTCTTTCATGGTGAATACTTTTTGGGAAGGAAAAGCCTGCATGGGAATGTGGAGATCCCGTTTCTCTTTCCACATTCTTAAAGCAACATCTGTATTTTTTTTCATGCACCACTCGGGCCTACTTGGCCACGATGCCGAGGGTGTGCGATTCTGGACATTATAACTTACTGTATGTTTTATGTGCATTGCATATTTTATTACCACTTCGATCTTACTACAAGTGTTTGAGGTTCTTGTGTCCGCAAAAAAATAATATGCAATTAACATGGATCATAGAAAACGTATAATAATATTAGAATGAAACTTAGATGAAATTTGCTGCACGTGCACTACGATGCATGAAGAAACTACATAAAATAAAATAAAGGAAATTGTTAAACACGTACATTCTGTGTAATATGAACCATTTCTAACATGGAGTTGGAATTCGAGGTTGAAAGTTCTTTTTACAAGTTAATGTCACGAGGGACGGCCGAAAACACAATGAGCAAGATCTTCGTCGATGGCAGCAACACGTTGCAGGCAATCCGCGGGTGGTCGCACTGCAGAAGACAAGAGACAGTTTTATAATGTCCAGATCCAGACTCGTACACCCTTGGCATCGTGGCCAAGTGGCCCCGAATGGTGTATGAGACCAAAATACAGATGTTGCTCTAAGAATATACGAAAAGAAACGCGACCTCCAAGACACTTTCCCATGCAGCTCTTCCTTCCCAAAAAGTATTGACCATGAAAAAGTGGGGATCGACCAATTACGCCACATCGATCCTAACGAGGGAGGATCAGTTCAACAATATCAGTTGTCCTTTCCGAACGGTGCCCTTTGCATTCTGCGAGCAAATAGAGTTCATGTTCGGAAAACTAAGTCTTAGTTTATTTAGCGAGAACGTAGTAACTATTTAGTAGTGTAGTGTACGTCGTTGTTATAAATAGTGCAAATTAATTATTGTATGTTTTAGTCATTCTTGTAGGTTTTATTAAATATTGTAGATTTTATTAATTATTGCAGGTTTTATTAAATATTGTAGGTTTTATTAATTATTGCTGGTTTCATTAAATATTGTAGGTTTTATTCATTATTGCAGGTTACAAATTAGTGTAAATAGTTCTAAATTAATTATTTTGAGTGTTCGTTTTGTGTAACCTGTAGAGTGTTCAACGCAACGGAGGAACCGCTCGCGGGTCACATAATCGCGCAATCTGTGAACATTTTTCGCGGACGGGAAAATCGCTTAGTGTGTGTGGACACTTTTCGCGGACTTCTGTGGTGTACGTGCATGTGCGGATTAATTTCATGGATACTCGTGGACAGTAAAGTTGTTGTACGTGTCAACTAGAGGGGGCATTAACCCTCTCTAGTCGATAATATTCATAAGAAGATATTTACATTTCTTGCGAATTTTATCGAGTAATCGATGTTCGAGTTTTATCGAATTTTATCGAGTATCGAGTAAGAGAGTTAATGCGATACAGGTGGATTCGACTCAAATACCGCGGGCACAAGTTATTGACATCTTCTACGGGGTAAGTAAACAGCTGTTCTACCGACTTTTCCTGTACGTCGTTGAGTCTTTAAAGTGACTGTACGCCCCTGATGAGCCGTGATCCGCTGACACTCCGTGCGCGCGAATTGCCATGATTTGGGACAATTTTTAAACGCTTATAATTAACAAACGAAGCATTTTTAGCAATTTCGTTATTCTTGATTTTCATCTTATTTTGCCTCAAAGAATCACGCCTTAAATTTTTTCCCACTAGTTGTCGAACACCCTGTATGTATACAGCGTTTTTAATTCACGGAAATATAGTTAACCCTGCATAATACGGACACCATTCGTAATTGGGTTATTTACCCTAAATGTCAGTCTTTCGTTAATTCAGAAACTGGATCGAGAAACATATCATTTTTTTAATAATGTCTCAAATATGTGGGTAACGAAATTACTCATAAAGTTTGTTTACAATATTTGAAGTCTATTCGGCGTATTCGAATCGGCCTCATATTAAAATACGTGACAACAGCATATGGCAACGTTTGCTCAGCGCGTTCGCGGAATCAAACGAATATTTTCGTCTGTATTTTTGTATCCGTTCGGTATCAACCACGTTTCCTAATGCTCTCGCGAAAACGAAATCTACAATGTTCTGGTAATAATTGCTACTTTCTTGCGGCACGAAATTTTTACGTCATCATCACATTAAAATACAGGTCGGAAGCTATTCGTCGTCATTAAATATTCAAAAGAGGCGAGCCCCGCAAGAGAAACAGCCCCTTACTGCTGTGTATTCGTATTTATAGTCCGTGCGACGGTTATTATTTATTTATTCTGTATAAGATTTCCATACAAACAGAATTTATGCAGCCCCGCGTATAAGAGCGAACGTGAATATTTAAAATATGCCGTTCAATGAAGTGAAAGAAACTCCGTATAGTGACATGCATGTAATATACTGCAGCACGTTAATTGCATTGTTCAACAAATCCGATAAACATGATTGTCTGTGTCAATTAAAGATCGCTTAACACGATGCTGGTTTAGTTTTTCCCCAACACGTCGTAATGTCTAGCGTTTTGGATATAAGTTGTTCACCGATCACAATTTCTCTGACTTTATTTCTATCTTATTTAACAAATAATAATAAAAGTAATAATGAATTTAAGTAAACTATAAATTTAGGATGCAAATAATTTCAAAAGTACGAACTGTAATTGTTTTTACAGCTCCATATTTATAATTAAATTAAACAAAAACTCTCACGTATAGGATCAAAAGTAACTATTGTATTCAGCAATTCAAAATCAGGCAAATTAAACCAGTTTTACTCCGTCATTTTAGAATTTTCAAAATTTTGTTCAACAGTGTTATCAGAGTTTCGAGTAACCGGAGAAACGATTATGCGAGAGTTAATCCTATACAGACTTATGTCATATTTAATTTTAACATCATACTTCTCACTTCAAAGTCTTACTTCAAAAATTCTGAATGAAATAAATTAAATGATTAATTTTTTGCTCCTTATTAAGAATCATTATTAGCAATATGTTTAAAGCAATGTAAAATGCAAGGAAGCTTATTATAAAATATATAAATAAAGAAGATAATAGACATCGCAAATATTTTCAATGAAAACGGAACAAGTAAATTCATAAAAACATGGAATAATATTATTAGCAGGAATTTTGCAATAGACTGTGGTCTAATTAGCCATTAAAGCTAACGTGAATAGTAAAAGAAAAATCATTTGCTATACGGTGTTTATATGATCTCGCAACCGTAGTATATCTTCCTGCACATGATTGGCCACTAGTTTAGTTTATTACCAATAGATATTAGCACTTTCTTCACGAGGTACTACAAATGACCATATTACGTGCTAGACAATATTAGATGCAGTCACTCTACTTGTGCTTTTTAAAACTTTCAGAATCCCCTGTGTACTTAAGATTTCTCTTAAAGTTTCCTATATTTAAAAAAACTACATAAAACGGCTGCTTAATGGAATTTGTACTTATTCGATGTTAGCCTTCATCGAGGAAGGCTATCACAGTACAAATCCTTACCACAACAGTACACACGCGACAGATGTGACCCAGGCGATGCACTGTTTCCTCCAAGAGAAAAAAGTGAGTACCAATTTTCGGCCGTTAACGTATACCATGGTCGGGTAAAGGTTTGGCGAATCGAATGAACAGCGTCTGTATTCGTTGTAAATTTGCAGATTAGGATGCACTTAACCAACTTGGAAATAATGGCTTCCCTGATAGCCGCGGTGACACACGATCTGGATCATCCAGGCGTCAATCAACCGTTTCTCGTCGCGACCAGCAATCACCTGGCTGCTCTCTACCAAGTGAGTCTGACACCACTTTCCGAAACGTTTAATAAAATTTCGCCAGAAACTGGATATTCATTGCATTTACATACTTCGTATTACACAACTGTATACATGTACTTACTCGTTGCTGATTGCAGAATACTTCGGTCCTTGAGAATCATCATTGGAGGTCAGCAATAGGATGTCTCTTGGAAAGCGGTGTTTCTGATCAATTGCCCGCTAATGTCAGGCCAGAACTTCAACGGCACATTAGCTCGTTGATTTTGGCAACAGATATTACACGGCAGCAAGAGTTTCTCGTTCGATTCAAAGTAAGCGCTCTCGAAAAGCTAGCTTTTCCAAATATAATTTGATGAAGAGTCCGATACTAAGACGATTCATAAATATTGATTCATAAATATCACGTGGATCAGTCTATTTTGTTTGTTTACATTTTAGAGGCATTTGCAACACAGAAAAAACAAGTACCATACATAAAGTAGTGTTCAAAGGCTCCTCGACACTGAACATTAAATATTTCATAAAGTAATGGCCATATGCGGCTGAAACACATATCATTGGCTTCAAAATTCCAACCTCTATCACTGTGCTAAACCTCATTAAAAAGTCAGCGTTACACCTGGGGACCTCTTCTTGTCAATGTCCACTCATCGAGGATTTACTGTAGTGGTACATAATTATGTCGCGAGATCTCGGTTTATCAATTTGGGGATTTTGGAACAGTCCGACAATCATCGACAGCATGCGGAGTGTATCAATACTTATGAATCAGTCTATATAGTATTTTAAGTATTTTATTACAATGATCAATGGGAACCAGTCCAAAATAGAAAATACACTTCATGAACTTTCATCAATTAAATATCTGCTATGATATGCATAGTAGATAAGGTTAATTTTTGTCTATTACAAAATAATTATTCTCTTATGATACGCATCCATATTCGATTCGGCGTCATTGGGCGTCATGTGCTATCTGGGACCGTTTCTCTAAACTATAAAAGCCTCACAAGGGAACCCCGGTGACTGATACACGCCGATTTTGATGCAACAGTGTACAAATATTCATTAGACCTATCTAAGAATTTAGCCGTAATTCGTTCGTGCTCGTTTTTTACTTTAGGGGTGAAATCAACCTTTTTATCCGAGCCGACCTTTCTATGTATGCTTATAAATCTCAAACCACAAAAGATATCACAAAATTGTTTATAAAAGTTATACAGTTTCTTGAGGCCAATAAATCAATACGAAAAATTTGTTGACAAAAATAATTTTGTTACAAAAATTATATTCCTCCTTCTTTTTTTGACAAACTTTTCGCACGGATTTGTAGGCCTTAAGAAACGGTATAACTTTAATTTTAACAGTTTGTCTTATATCTTTTGTGGTTTCCGATTTATAAGCACTTACATAAAATGGCTAGCTCGGATAAAAGAGGTAATTTCACCCTTAAAATAAAAGACAGGCACGAACAGCACCAGATCAAGCGGGTCTAGGGCCGGGGGGGGGGGAGGTTGTAGCCTCGAACCGCACGTTCTAGGGAACCCCGTTATGAATCTTCCCTTTCGTTATAAGTAAGTGTTATTTAACTTTATTTAAAATAACTTTAAATTTTTGAAGATTGATGTATTTTGTTATGCTGTATTACAAACTCCCCCACCCCGTCTCACACGCTTTTCAACCAAGGGGGGACCCGAAAATCTGATAGCCTTGGGCCACAAAAAGTCTTAATCGGGGGCATGGGAACAAACGAATTACGGCTAAATTCGTAGGTAGTTCTAATGAACATATGTAAAAAGTTGCATAAAAATCAGCGTATATGTTACCAGGGTTCCCTTGTCAGTAAGTATACAACTCACGTACCTATTTCTCGAGCACCCCTTACCACTACTCACATTTTTTCTCCTTTTCAGCATTACTTGGACGAGAATCGGTTGGAAATGAAACGAGCAGAGGACCGGCATTTCATCCTTCAAATAGCTTTGAAATGCGCTGATATATCAAACCCGTGCAGACCTTGGGACATCTCGAGGAAGTGGTCGTATAAAGTATGCGAGGAATTCTTTCGACAAGGCGATTATGAACGTCGACTAAACCTTCCGGTGACGCCGTTATGCGATCGACATACCACTAGCATACCAAAGATACAGATTGGATTCATAAAATTCGTCGTGACACCTCTTTATGAGGAATGGCATCGTTTCCTCGGGGACGGACTTAGCGTGTCGCTGATGGAACATTTACGCGGTAATCAGAAGAAATGGGAGACGTTGGTACTCCAGGAGACAACAGAAGAAACGGAAACGGAGATCTCGGAGCTAGACGAAGCGGAGGACGCGGTCAGCTCCACCGAGGACCCGGCCGCAGACGAGGATACAGGAAGTATCGATTTGCTCATACCGGCTGCATACGTTCAATCCTCTCGTATGCAAAGCTTACCGGCACGGGTCGGCCTCGAACGGGTCGGTAGGCGTCATTCCGTGCCGCTGAGCATTTCGAAAACGTTAACGCTTCTTCCGCGTAGCACAGTGAGACGCGAGAGTCTGCCGAGCGAACACAGCAAAGGGAAAAGTCTGTCGCCAAGATTCGACGATCATAGTTTCCTGGAGCCGAGTTCGTTTTCTTTACTCTCGTCCAAGAGCAGCATACACGAACTATCTCCGAACACAAACGCAACGGAACGACCGGTCAGCGCTGAAAGTCTTCTGCCGGAAACAAGTATAGCCAGCATTACCAACAGCACCGAAGCGTCCAGGTTAAGCTCGGTTCTGCAACCAGACAATCAAAACCCGGGCACGCAGTCGAAACAGTTGACGAGACAACAGACTTTTCCGCCTCTGCAACCGTACGTTCGAATGAGATACTTGTCCACGACCGCGGAAATGTCGCAGTGTTACTCGCAAATCTTAATGGAGGCTGACAGTTCCAGCTCGTCTTCGTGCTCGACGAAAGAAAAACCTTGCTTGGGTGGTCATTGCGGTACTCCGCCGATCAGCGAGGTGGACACGTTACAAGTGAAGCGTAATATTGAAAAGGTGTCAAGAGAATCGGTTTCCGCGGACATCGTTGGTAAAAGACGTAGTTCCGCGATTGCGGATACAATTAGACCAAAAACTGACGTCACCTCGACTGCCGATCATCCTCGACGTCATTCGGTACAAGCGATTCGTATCGACGACACGAACCTCAAGAAGAATCGTCATAAACGACCTGCGTCTGCTCAAGGAACGGATTCTACTCAAGTTTTCTACACATCGTTAACCGGTTGCGGTTGCGGCGACAAAGACACACGTGACATCGAGACGGAATGTAAATCGGAATGTGTATCGACATCGAAGGTGAAACACGATAGTGAGAAAGTAACATGCGAAGATCAACGGACTACAACGCCGTCGAGTAAATCCGATCAGTGTAGTTCGATGCATGTTACGAAAGCGAAGTGCGTCGAATCCGAATTACGAAGATACTCAACCCCTGTGCCAGAAATTAAGACAATAATGACCGATGCCAGTGGTAGACGATTTACCGCGATACCAGTGTCTTCGGAACTCAGCACTCACAAAGTGTTCTTCATTGGCAGCCCGCCGGATTCACCGCCTCTCATCCAAAGCATATCGTCATCAAGCGACAGTGGTAGTGAACCGCGAAAAAGTATTGGTGATAACGAGATCGTTTCTACGGGTAGCAAACGGGACTCGGATTCCGTGAAGGAGAAGAGCTCGAAGGTGGCCAAATTAAACCTCGACGTGCAAATGAAAGAAAACGTTGATCCACGTGCAGTTGAGGATCCGAAGGGGATCACGCCATCTCGAAAGGGAAGCCAGGTACTGCTTTTATATGACGATACATATTATACCGGGTGGGGCAATAACTATTACCGCCTCAGATATCTTCAAAACTATAAAATTCACAGAAATATTGATTTAACCAACATTGCACAGAACGAAGAGAGCCATCCGATAACGCTAATAGTTTTTTGCAGGTGGAGGTACTTTGGATATTTCAAGGTCACCTCAATTTTTTTAAATGGATCGGTATGTTTTTGTTTCCGTAGAATGATAGAGGAGCTTAAAACGAGTTCAACGACCTATTACATAAGACCATAGTAGGTCTTCGAAATGATGATCATCACTATCAATGCAACACTGGATTCTTCTTATGACTGATTGAAGTACAAGTCTTATAACGTCAGAATATACTGACGCACAGGTTGCAATAATTTATTGTTGCATTTTTGAGGTGTAGATGGTACATCTTTGTACACTTTATCTTTCAATATTCCCCACAGAAAGAAATCTAGAGGTGTCAAGTCTGGTGAACGAACTGAGCATCCATCATGTTGATACCACATGGTTTCTTGTGTAACTAGAGGCAATTCTTCTAGCAAAGGACTCAATGTATCCTTAGTAAAATTAGCGTAGATGTTTCCATTCAAATTTCCATTGATAATACGAGGACCAATAATTTGATTACCTGTGATATCGCACCATACGTTCACAGACCATTGTCTCTGGTGTTCAACCTGCCGCAGCCAATGTGGATTTTCCGCTGCCCATAAATGCATATCATGCAAATTAACATTCCTGTGACTTATGAATGTTGCCTCATCAGTAAATAAGACGGTATTAAGAAATAATTCATTATTTTGGATCTAATGTTTAGCCTATCGACGAAAATCAACCCGATTCATGAAGTCGTTCCCCTGCAATTGTTGACGAAGACTAATATGGTACGGATAAAATTTATGACTGATTTTGAAATTTTTGACAGATTCGCGAACTAATATGAGGATTTGTAGCCACACTTGCGAGCATACCGATTTCATTTTCTTCGTTCGTTACTCGCTTTCGACGTTCACTTTTACGAACACTTGAACTATCGGTTTGCCGAAGTTTATCACACACATTTTTAAATGTTCGTTGCCCATGTTTTTTGTCTTTATAGAATTTTGTTGGCATTCGCCATAAAGAAGAAGCATATCAACTTGCTCTTCAAACGGATAGATTGTGCCCGGTTGACCGATACGATACTACTCTTATCATGTTTATCTTATTCTGCAAACTTATTAAAGTGTCCTTCAAACAGTTTTTATTTTCAGTGAAGTAAACCGTAAGCATTATCGCTTTTCTCTACTTTCTATGACCTTCAAGTAATAGGTCGTTAAACTCGTTTTAAGCTCCTCTATCATTATACGGAAACAAAAGCATACCGAGCCATTTAAAAAGATAGAGGTGATCTTGACATATCCAAAGTACCTCCACCTGCAAAAAAACTATTAGCACCATCGGATGGCTCTCATTGTACAGTGCAATTATGAATCAACAAATATTTCTGTGAACCTTATAGTTTCGAAGATATCTAACGTGGTAATAGTTATTGCCCACCCCGTAACCGTATATTGTAAATATAATACATATATATAGTTACATATGCAGGTTGTTTTGACTGCTTCTATGTATTTTCACAATAATATCTATTAAGACCTGGACCATCCTGTTCAAGATGGAGAGGAATTACTTTAATATCTGTAAACTCTATTTCATATTATATTAGTCATGGGCCAGACGGCGAGGATCTGCCCCAGTTGGTCTCTTATCAAGATTGGATGACATTACTGTACCACCTATAACATCTACTAGAGTTGATCACACTTCCAGACGTGGATCTGTACCAACTGACATTACTAGGCATCAAGGTAGAATATCAAAATACATGTACATTACATATCTAGTTGATCCAGGAAACATGCAATTACAACTGAAAAGTGATAGTTTAACTCAGATTATGAATCTTTCTTAGGGAAAAGTGCCTTACTTTATAAAATATATATTGGTCTTCGTACACTCCAAAATACCAATAAAAGTCAATACAAATACTGGAAATAACTAACATATTAGACCTGTAAGTTATATAATACATGTGAAATATAATATAGTCAATGTATCTAACTGATGTCTAGCATGTGAGTCATTTCCAACAATTTCATTCACTAACCAGTACACATTGTATTGTACAAACTTTTTACTTTATTCCTTTATACATGATTATCGCTAATAATGAGACGTTCATTCTAATTTCAAATATACTTAAATTTCACAACAATAATACTTGGGCATAATCAGTAACTATATGACGTCCGTTGTATCTCTAGGTGGAGGTTTTAATCGATTAGCCTTAGGAGTTAGAGAAGGTAATGTTGCAACACCTAGGAGAGCTAGTCTTCCGCAAGAAACTGCTCTTGGAAACCTTATTGGCAATATTTTATCTTTAACCAGTATGTATACATTGTAAATCACATTATTATACAAATTTTACTTAATATATACTAAATACTTGAATATTTTCAGATGAGCGCGAGAATCTCCCAATAAATAATAATAACAATAATAATAATACTGGAACTAGCAACAATAATGGATTAACGAGAATAATTGATAGCACCGGACCTGGAATGCCGTCTCCACGGCGAGGTTCAGTGCCAGCAGACATATCTGAATTACGCCGAGATATGTTCAATAGGAGTAGCATAAATGGTAAGCCTCGTAATCGGAAAAAGGTTTTGAAGAGGAGAAGTTCTGGAGGACCAGAAATGTTTTCTGTAAGAGGTTCCCTGCCCATAGAGATGGTGGCCATTTCTCATGCTGGTCGGTACAATCATAGATAAAGGAGGATGTCGTAAAACAAGCCGGTACCATTGCGTTCTCCATTAATATTTATATGAAAAAGTTGATTCGTTAGATTATTTGAAAGTCGCTAAAGCTAATTTCATTAGCAGCATTGAACGAAAATCCAGCACTGTCATAGAGTTCTTAAAGGTGTAGATGTCAGCTTTCCTGAATTTGTATGTTCTGTGATGCTCGAAGAAGTAGGAAATCAATCGTAGATCTGTTCTAATGATACTACTATGTATGCATAACAGGATCGGGATCGGGAACCAGAAGATCCAGTTTGTGGAGACTTTAGCATGGAACAGAAGCAAGTGGACCGCCCGTGCAACCAACGGTTGACAGCAGATCATCGAATACTACCGCACTGACAGTCTTTCCTTACAACATTAGCACCAACAGCGATGATTGACTTCCACGTTCAACGATTGCCAAATCTGAAACTCCTCTTATCAACCGTTATCATGGGCATGTGAATTCGTAAAGTTAATCAAGATTTCTATTACAATAGTTGCAATACAAGCGGAACAGTTATAGCGATTTGTCATCATTCATTGTTAAAAATTATATTGCCATAGTCCTATACATATTAATATGTGCACCGAAGAAACCCACTTAAAGGGATGAGAAACAAGAATAGAGTATGTATATCATAATCATTGACGCAAAATACAAGTGTAATATTGGCAGACGATAACATCAAATTTTACGACAGGGTTAACATAGAGAAAACAAAACAAAAGTATCAATTCTAAAGTCTTCCCCGCAATTTACGCGTCCTTGTGGAAGAAACAAAATGTATACATATTAGTTATGTTCGCTTTATATCCATTTGTGCCATACACAAATGTTGTCGAAAACGTGACATAGTCAAACACAGGGTTCAATATGAAGATTTTAATAAGTAAAATGCCTAGATACGGAGAAGGAGAAAAGACTGGTAGAGAAAATCACCGCTATAAAACTAGACACTTAAAGAGGCATACAAATCAATTAAAACGAAATGACATTTGCTCATAGCTAGGGAAGTTATGATTTTTTTAATCAAACAAAGCAATGTTATTTACACTTAGTTAATATCATTTCTTTCATCTTTCATCTCCATCAAATGTTAATTTTTTTTGTAAATCCGAAGATGGAATTTTTTATTGTTATTGACAGTGTTATGAATAAAACGCAAAGAAATTAAATTTACTGTTAAGTAAAATATAAGAAAAAGTATAGCTATGAAAAAGTAACTCTGGTAAAAAAATAATATACTCAATATCAGCAGTAGTTTCTTTTAAAATGTAATGAAAATCAAGATAGACATTCCATTAAACCAAATAGTGTACAATGTATAGAACACAAATCAGAGTTAATAATAATAAACTTGTAATTATTGCTATTAATCATCATTCATTACACTATCATAACAACCATTATTGTCATCATCGTTGTTGTTATAGTTATAAATGAAGTCTTAATGATCGTTCAAGTAGGTAGAAATTATAAACTTAGTCAGTAACAATATCTGCGTTTAATCACAAGGTAAATTAGTTAAAGAATTGCGTGGAATTTTGACCATAATTGTTTATAATGAAAACAAAAGATGGTTACGATGAATGGGTTTACGGTACGTGAACCAAAATCAATCAAAAACTAAAAAATTGTTTAGTACTATCATTGAATATATTAATTAAACAACACACATTTAATTAATTAGTTTCCTTTACACAAAGTACAATTTCTAAACTGCCTATGCACAAACACTGTATACAAGATAGACTCAAATTATTGTACTATTTTGCTGTCAAATTTTTGTTATCATGCAACAGGGTTATTAAAGAAAGGCATTTTATTAACATTTTTCATTATTGTTCTAAGAAAAAGGATAAGAAAAACAATTAATAACTTACATCACGTACTGCTATAACCTGTCATCCCTCTGACTATCAGAAAGTAATGAAATATTATTAAGCCATTGCAGTTCAATAATGATATATAACAAGTCTAAGTTTCTAACTAATCAAAGTAACAATTGATATCTGTATTGATGTAATATAGATAGGTCATCCATTTCTCAAGCAAACTGTAACATTCGTAGTGAACTTCCCTTGGAAAGATTTCCAGATTGTGTTAATGCTGAAACTGTCAGAACTGTATGTGTGTTTCACTCAGTGACCAGAAAATAAAAATGCGACAAAATCGCCTTAAATACATTTGAAATCTTTAAACACGAATATGAAAACAATTCCTAAGTTTTCCTACTTGTAATCCAGAAGAACGCTGCATAAATGACTTGTATAAGTATATTACCACCTAAGTTAGTCTAAAACTACTAGTCCTTCTAAGTCCTAACTAATGCGTATATATGTGTATGTACATATATATACATATACATATATACAGTGAATTAAAAGAAAAATGCACAGAGAACACCAAGGAATACATTGACCGAACAGATTAAAAAATTTCATTACAAACACTTATTTATTTATATTTCCTAAAACATTTACCTTTACTGACAGACCAATAAAAATGGGACTAAACGAAACCTCCTTGCAAAAATGATAATTGACTTAGCTTCTGAAATAAATTTAAATTCAATATTATAAACGACCACTCTGTCCAACTACTTTTTGAAGAATTTTATGACATCTAAATGTACATGTTGCACCGCATTCCAATAGAGAGTGATTAACATTCTTCAATAATTCTCCTCCTCTGCCATCCTATAGATATTGTGTACTTGTATTACACCATTTTCTATGATTGTATTATCTTGGGATGTGCAAAATGAATAAAACTATTCATTATTAATTTAAAAGAATGAATGTAAAAGTAGGGTATTTGACATACAATGCATCAAGCAGTGTTTATACTATGATAAATATTAATTTCTTTTTATCTAAGAAAAATGTTCATTTGTTACGTTATTAAGAATTTGTGAGCTTGTAATTATCTCATTTTTTGTAAAAGTTTGCACTGTTACTATATTTATAACATAGTATTCCAAATTTATAGAAAATTCTAAAATATTTACAAACAAGTATTTCTTCCTGAAATACGTATCGATAAAAGTGAAATATGGGCATATATAAGGATGCTTTCTGCAGGGTTTTCATTATTATTTTGTTACTCATCATGTTTAATACACGTATTACATGCGCACATTTGATGTTTCATAACGATATAATTTAAAGTTTGTTCATGAATTTTCTATTAATTTTCTGTTAAGCTGTGCAAAAATAGGAAGTAATTTTGTTCTACATTTTACTTTGAATTTTCAAAGAACTATTAAATTTAGGAAAATTTAATGAGATATTTTCTTTGAATATGAAAACCAAAAAGGACAAGTATATATTGCAAAACAAGTTGTACTTGTCATTACTTTTATTGTGAGAGATTTGAGGCTTTCACGGCCTGGCGTCATATAGTTCTCATTGTTGAGGTTTTTGGGTGTAAGCCGTGTCCTTGTGGAATTGTTTTCTCCAATGTTTTGTAAGCATTGCAGCTAGTTTCATCAGGGGATCGAGAGACACACTGATACTGAGTAGTAGTATCAGTGTGTCTTTCAACCCCCTGATGAAGCTAGCTGCAATGCTTGCAAAACATTTGAGAAAACAATTCTACAAGGACACGGCTTACAACCGAGAGCCTCAACAATGAGAACTTTTATTGTGCTTTCAAGTAATTTCTTTTTATATATTACAACATTTGATGTTGTAATTGTATACAAGCAAAAAATTTGCGTGCAATTCGCAGTATTGGAAAAGTCAATTAACAAGTAAGAATTCGTATATAATCGGTCTGACGATAAGAAAGTCGTTATGTATTTTCTATAATGTTATTGTAGATAGCTACTGCGTTAGATACAATTAAATGATGTGTTCTTATCATTATTCGTAATTAAATTATAATGTTGTTATAATAAACACGAGATGCGAAATAGTATGAAATGGATATGTGTATGAGTGAGAGTTAAGAATGTGAGCATAGTCCAATCGATTATCTTATTTATGTTGGACAATGTAAGAAAAATTAATATATATGTATATGTATGTGGTGGCTCTACATGGCCTACTATATTCATTAGAATTGGAATTACTATAGTCGATAATTATAGTACCCAAATTTCTTATCATTTTCATTTGGTTGTATTGACTATTTATTTTGTGAATGTACATGCGACTTCTCGATTACATGACAAAACTCCTATTATAAGTTTAGAACTGAATGATACGTGATGCGATATGTAAACCCATCTTCTTTATTAAAAAAAACACAAAAATTACACGAGCATATTTTACTAATTAAATTTCTTCATATATTTTGATTCCCGTTTACAACAAATTTTTGTAATCCCTCGTTTTTTACTGCAATTTACAATATTTATATCTCTTATTCAAATAGCACTGCACAGTTTTACGAATGTTCTTTTAATTACGTTAATTTGAATATTGGCGCGACGCACGCTACCGACAGAGATACCAACTGTAAACACAACACAAACGTTGCGTCATATTGCGCACTGGGTTCCGAGTCGTGTGTCGCGAATCTCGTTTTCGAAAGAGCACGCACACACATGCCGCGTCGTGAAATCAAATCATCGGCCCGCGAAACGAGAGTACATAAATCGCGAGCGACAATTCTCAGTGTTCGTCAGATGCAATCGGTTTTAGCGCGTGTGGTTGCGTACGTGTCTCGTGACTGTCGTTTCACGTATCTGTGCGCGCTCGGTAGGTCAAAATGGCGTGAACCGACCGTGCGATTTTAGGTTATCTTCGCTCGTGGCAAATCACGGCGGGTCCAGAAATAAAGGCGACACGTCCATACGAGGCTGGCATCCCTTTTTCCAAGTGTACACCGCGATCCTCCACGTACGTTCTTTAGCTCGAGGTACATGAGTTATGAGGACGGAATGCCCGCAGGCGGTAACAGTCGTTTCCGCGGTTACCCAGCGCGGATGTCCGAGCGACAACAACTCGCGCTCCTTCTCCAAATGACCTCTCAGGAAATAGTATCAGGTGAGTGAGACACCACTTCAGCATAAACAAACACGCGCACAAGTTCTCTCTTTGAATGCAACATCTACATAATCGATCAGCGTGTCTACGCGACTGTTTAACTATCCGTGAAATGGTTTCTACGTATTGAAACGGATATTTATTCTATGTGTACACAAAATTACGTATTTGACAATGATATTCACAACGACATGACATTACATACTACATGTCGTACCTACATGGTTAGCCCCAGATATATTTTGAATAACTCTATGTAATTAAATCACGAGTTAACCATCTATTTCTTTATTGACACACGAACAAATGACACTCGCACAAATGACCACACTTCCATGCCTTAATCAGCTCTCGTTTTCCGCTGTATCGTTTCATCGAGACAAGTTGCAACGCGAAACTCGGAGCTAGTTATATGACACAGGACAAGTGTTTGCTTATACCTATTATGCGATTGCCCAGCATGCTTAGTTCTAAGGAACGCCATCTATGTATTGCAATATGGAGGGAAATTTAAATTAATAAAGTAAGTCAACCATTTACCTTGAAATAAGATCGTAACACATAATTTTTTCTACTTTTTCCATCTACATGCATTCGATAAAAAATACCAAATTTAAAAAATAAACTGTATTATTTACTCTGAACATGCATCCTTCCTTGCCAACGATATAAGAAAGACCTTTAACGATTGTATGGTTGCAAAATATTATTGAATTTATGGTATTAGAAGCATCAAGATTTCTGTGATATACACTTAGAAAAAGTTTTCATTTATATTGAAAACAGTGACCGTTCGCAAACATCTGTACTTACTTCTGAAAATAAAACTCAAACTATCGAAAAAGTATGTAGATAATAGCTGCCTGAATTTTACCCTGAGGTCTACCAATTACATCGTTGTGTCGAAGTTGCCGTGATTAAATGATGCGTGTTAAATTAACCCTAGAAATGTCAGAAATCTATATTCTATATAACGAGTAAGGTAATGTTGTATGCGACACCGATGAGGTAAGGAAATTACGATATGTATGTACCACAATAATAGTATAAATTCGGAATAAAACAGTAGTTTATTGATTCAATGTAAGTATACAAGTAATATAAAGAAAATAAATTAAACAATCCACGAATATTGTCACTATCTGTTATATGCACAAAATACCGATTGTTATATTCGACAAACTGTTTGCCTATGTCTCCATAATCAGATCCAAAATTTCATTGACAAAAAGTAACTTCCAGTCTGCAGCTTCCTTTGTTACTTGTTTTGCATCACCTTTAGGGTCACGTTAACGCAACACAATATTTGTTTGAATAAGTCTGATATTATTTCTGTAGTACGATGTTGTGGACCACCTATATCCATTCTTTCCATACGTAGTCTTTCTCTGTAGTCGATCATTATCATTACTTGTATCATTTCCTTCGACAAATAATTCGTCACTATAAATACCATGATCGGACACAACTGCGTTTATTTTATAATTTGTGCTTTAAAATTCATTGTCTTCATTCTGTTGATCTAATTCCACCTGTACTACGCTTTTATTTTTTGATTTCATTTTTTAAAAAAGTCAACTTGTTGCGTTAAAGACAAGGTGGCGTGAGATATAATAACTTCATCAATTATTTACTCCTAGATAGCAACTAGCGAAGACGTGACCATTTTACAACTTACATTTAAACCACAACAGTCGCAAAGATACAAAATATCAGCTACCAGTATAAATATACTATGCATTTAGTTCTGACTGGATAAAACAAGCAGTATGTATGTAGCTGGCATTGCCGGTAACGCCATCTTACGCACGTAGGGTTAACAACAAAAAGAGGGGACAATGTTGGTATACCTAAATAATTGTCATATTCTCAAGTTTCTGCCATATAAGTACACTAGACATTCGTTTAATGTAGGCTCCTTTATTATATGTATTTGGGAATGCTCCTCGCTAACTAAACAGGAATTTCTCACACGGGTGCGCGCACCCCACTCTGTCGCTCAGCAACTAAGGAACGGAATACATACGTTGTTGCGTTTAGTTCGCATATTTTTCATCGCAGAATGTTTAGTGTATAAAATGTTTGGGTATACTTTCCCCCTGGGAAACCTTTTTTTCCCCATAAATTTGTATTGATCGAAAGTACGTATCAAATAACATTAAACAATATCAATTTTGTGTTTAGGAATCTGTCCATTAAAAGGTTATTAAGCAAAGAAGACTCAGAAATTGTTACGTATTTTCTAACCTATAATGTGACATACTCCACTCAAATCAGTATAATGTTTTGAATATTATTTTTTTTTATTTCTTAACTATCTCTAACCAACTCAGATCAGTATAATCCCAGTCAGCCAAACCTGCAAAGCCAAATTTTGTCCAATGCCTGTTATAAAGTTATGACTGCAAGTTTTATGCAAGATTTGCTATAAACACGTTGTGCGCACATTGACAGCAACATATGCAGCTTGCATACTGATTTGCGCAAACCTTGTTCCGGTTTTACCCTCAATTTGACATAGGTCTTTCTGCTAATTTGCTTTACCATTTTGTCAGCTGACGTTGCCTGCAAAACGCAAGTCAAATGCGGAAACAAATGGCTATGGTTTTTTTAGATAACTTTTGTCATTTATTGTTGGCAATTTACTCGAAGCTTGTACACAACTGGTTATCAAGGATGCTCTAAAAACAAAAAACACAAAACAACACGGATAATAGTATTTATCATACAAACACAGATGAGATATAAGAATAAACGTAACGTCTTATGGGACTTGGTGTCCAAGAAAAATAACTCTGGTTCAAGCGCACCTCTACATAGAAGTTTCCGATTTCAGGAACTACGTCCGACACCGTGATAACGCGCAACTCACACGCATCCGTGATTGCATGTAGCGATACATACATACATTATTGCCCCGGTTTCGCTAGCAAAGAATGGAAAACTGAAATGGTACGGGGGCTTCTGACGCCTCCGAAGCATGGAACAGAAAATTACATTGCATGTTAGGTCTATTCTTATGTCTCGTCTGTGCTATAACTCAAGTGTAACCAACTGTGTTTATAAATTTATACGTGAAAAATGAGCTCTACTCTTATAAAAAATATTAAACGTTAGAAAACATCTAAATTTCGCAACCTTTTTCGTATCATTACTTTTCAACAAAACGATTCCTAACAGAAAATTGGTATCGTTAAACTCTACCCAACAAGTACTTTGCATACATATAACTTTGAACCCAAAAAAATGTTTCCCAGAGAAGTTCACATAAATATTTCAATACTCAATAATTTTTGTAAATAAATTTTTTTTATATTTTTAAAAATAACGGAGATAGTAAGGTGATTAAAAAGTGCGTACATCCTGCCCACCCTATATTTAGGTACGTTGAACAAGTGAACGAACGATCGACGGGAAGAGCGCGCGTGTGATTCGCCCTCATTAATTGCATCATTCCTGGAAATGTAGCCTTCAACAGCCCCGGAAGGTGCAATAAACGAATGCCTATCCTATTGTTCCGGCACCGATCGCCGATAACTTGCAACTACAATTTAGACTAGGAGGTGTTACTGCTAGAAAATACTCCCATGGTTTTATTTTGAAGCAATCGCCATGCTCTTTATCTCGTCTCCATACATCTACTGAATTCAATGTAAATGAAAGTTATACAAGAATATACCGATACACGCTACAAAAAGTGTCGATGTAGAGATCTTCGTGTACATGAATGTACATACCCACATACAGTGGGTGTAGAAAGTATTCATACATTGACTAATTTCTAGCAAACCTTCGTATAATTGAGACTTAGTAATTAATTTTTAAAAAACAATTAGTTCGGAGATCTCTGGGATATCGTGCAAAAAAATAAGATACTCGCATGGTGTGCAATAGTAGCAACAAAAATTACAAAATTGACATTCATGAATTATAGCACTGATTAGGAGTCCAGACAGCCAAGCCTGTAAAGTAATGTAAAGCCACATGTCTAATACCTGTTATAAAGTTATGGCTACAAGGTTCTATTCTAAGTTCCGGTTTTACCCTCAATTTGACATAGGTCATAGATCATGTTGCAAGACTTTTTGCTAATTTGCTTTACCATTTTGTCAACTGGCGTTGCCTGCAAAACCTAAGTCAAATGCGGAAACAGATTGCTATGATTTTTTAAAGAACTTTTGTCATTTATTGCTGGCAATTTGTTTAAAACTTGTACTCAATTGGTTATCAGGAAGGGTAAATAAAAGCCAATTATTCTAATATTTATTTACACCTCTGTAAACAAGATTAAAATTTAATCGGGTCGCCAGTAACCCCACAATGTCATTTCAGGGTTAGCAATAATTTAAGTGTTGATTTATCTGCTAGTAGTATGCGTAACTTTTTACAGAACCGAGGATATCATGGCAGTATGGCCTGTAAAATATATTTCGTAAGGTAAGCAAATAGACAGAAAGTACGACCATAATCTAATTATTTTATCAACCATAATCTTCTATCTCAAGAGTTTTGCAACTTTTGTTAACAATTGTATTGTATGTCAGTAAATCTTGTCATAGACTTACACAACATAGTGCTAAGATATTTATATAGGAATCAAGTTAGGAATATTTGTTACTAGGATGATTAATTTAATTTTTTTAAAATTATTTAAGTTTATTTAATATTATTTTTCATTATAGACCCGAAAACTTCAGTTCTGTTGTTATTTACGTGTATATAATACGTGCTTACATAATTTACATGTTTTTAGGTGCAAATCGAACGGAAAACACAACGCCAAGCACTACCCAAAGGTCATCGACATTGCAACAGCGAGGATCAAAAGGACGGTGGACTAGTAAAAATGGGGATTCGGCAGTCCATACGTCTGTTAATCGTAAAGAAGATTTTCGCGTGGGTCAGATGCTCGTAAATGGATACGATCTTAATACGAAGGAAGCGAATGGTAAGTAACTTCTATTCTTCCGCCCTCTGAATTGTATACTTTCAATATTAGAAAAGAAATAATTCTCACAAACCCTTTGAATACGCTAGCGTTCTTAATTGGCTAAGTAGAACATTATATGTGTATAAAATAATATTATATTGGTAACAAATTTTTAAAAACGCAAGCTGTCACAAAATTAATATGCATCTTTTTAAAATAACTGCACTTTTTACGCGTTAAGTAATTTATAGAATGCACGTTGAAGAATAGGAAGTACAAACGAATGATTGAAAAATTATTTTCTATTTCACATAAATTTATTGACACAATTACATGACGTATCGCTCCGAATGATTCAAACGATATGCCTTTGGGAGTTTATGACAATCTTTAGATTCAGTCCTTATGACCTTTAGCCGATGATATGAGTTATTTAGGAAACAAGGTCTGTCATATTTGTCAGGCGCTTGTCATAAATGCATAATAAAGCAAGAATATTAATGTGCCACTAATAGATCGTCTTGTAACTACTATGAACGGTTTTTCCACTAATTTCATACTCGCTAACTATAATGTACTAGAGCAGTGGTTCCGAAAGTTTTTAAAGCCGCAACCCCCTTTTGGTCGAGACTGTTGCTTGCGACCTCCCAGAGGGTCACAACTGACGTTAATTTTTTTTTCTAAATACAAAATAAATGTATAATGTGGTAACACATATAATTAAAGAAAACAAACATATATTTATTTTAAAAGGAAATAAAACTAGTGTTACAAATATTATGAGCCACAACTTTCCACTGCCAACTTCCACACTCAACTGTCTCAACTGTCTTCCCCGAAAAACTACCCTACCCCACATTACCCCACGCTTGCCCTCTCGATACCTTTTCCAACAAACCTTTGCTGACTGGCCGAACCCCGTCATCGCTCGCAACCCAACGCAGGTCAACCCCGCTTTCATTTTTATGGCTTTTTTCCGGCTCTCGCCTCGCAAAACGCCCTGGTCTAACGGCTAAAAACGTCTCTTAAAACTACGTACAGAAATGTGTACCGGGTACCCCGAACATTCCCGATACCACAATAATGATACGGTTTTTTTTTGTTTTATTTTGTCAATAATTTTTTCTAAAATTGTCTCAAACCAATTATTGCATGTGTGACCTACCCACACAATGCGTTATAAAACATACTTTTACCCATTATTTTAGCGTTATCTCAGTTAATATTCAATTGCGGCAGAAACCTTTCAGATATGTTCATTTAGGAGTATTTTGGATGATTTTACAAAATTTCATGAAAATCAAAAAGTGGACCTTTTCGAAATTGCAGCTTAGTATTTTATTATTATTATTGATAATAATGATATTTTTAACATACATACAATTATATCCGTGTAACGAAAGTAACTTTTTTTTAATCGAAATACAGTATGACTGGGGTCGGTCACCTCTGGTTCGTGTTTGTCGCAGAGACACTCGTCGCTAAATGAAGGCGACGTACAGTAGGGTATTTGACCCGAAAAGCTGGCCAAAATCCCAAATTTTATCTTTGTTCAAAATGAATGAAACTTTGTGTCTATGTTCCTAAGAATGAATAAAAGTAAACTGCTATCTTGGTTTTTCGAAAACAGCAGTAATTAGCAACAAATTGAGGCTTGAAAGTCAACAATTTTTGTGCTGGAAGAAAATGCCAAGAAACCTATATTAAAAAAGTGATTTATTACAAGTGTAGTGTTAAGGAAGTGCAATAACAACATATGTAGGATATAGAGGAAGGTATATAGAGTAATTTGGCACCTTATTTCTTTCAATTTTTTGTGTGGTTTTGATAAAATAACAATTTGAAAACAGTGTTTTTTTTTCGTAAAATCAAGTATAAAACATTGAATTACTTTTTTGCACCCCAAAACACCCCTTTACTTTTGATATATTTTTATCCTTGGACATTGCTTTATATATTTCTTGAAAAATTAGGTCCTAAGAGGTGCTAAAACTACAGTTTTGTTCAAAAGTATCGCCTGACTTATGCACTAGTGAAAATTTATTGAGATTCAATGTTCCATAACTGTGTTAATATTCGTCAGAATTTGCTTAAATGAAAGGAAGATTAAAGCTTGAACCTTCTACTTTTTAACCCTTTCATTTGATTTTATGTAACTCGGTGTCCAAGAGGTAAAATCTTCCCTTATAAAGAGGGCCTTCCAATTCTAAAATTTTGTTCATATTTGAAAATGATGTTCCTCATAGACAACAGTGTTCGGAATTTTGCATGTATTTCAGAAATAATGATTCTTTGCCTTTAAAACAAGCCAAACTGCATCCAAAACTGATGTTTTTTAACGAAGTTACGGCCATTTATAGAAACGCCTGCCGCTTTATGGTTTCATGTCTTTCGTGCATGGCAACGTTCAATGGTATGCGTTTCTGTAAATGACTATAACTTCGTTAGAAAACATGCGTTTTGGATGCAGTGTAACTTCTTTTCTTTTCATTCAATTTCTTTTATTATTATATTGAACAGTCGTCTGAAGTGAAAGCTTTCTAACCATACAAAACTACTTACGTACAATAGGTTACAAACATTTGACAACCATCTGACAATACGCGTGACCTTGGAGAAGCTTTTTAATAAGAAAAGTTTTTTGTGAATATCCGACAAACAGATAGAAACTCGTCTATTGTTTTGGGGGAACGGCTGCCGCCCCTCCCCTATACCCTCTTCCCGCTAACGATTCTAGTCTCAGACTTACTCCGACCACTCTTTCAAAATGTATCTTCTCTTAAATATTGCATACTGCCAATTTTTTCAAGGACAAGGTCACTCAGTGTTATGATTAGGAAGTCTTTATTGAACAAAAAGTAAGTATCGCTCGGCTGCTCGAAAGGAACTAACTTGTCTCCGCAGCCGTGTCGTCAAGCGCGGCGAAGTAACACAAAAATAAACAAAAGAAAGGGCCGCAAAATGGGGAGCAGAACAAGAAATAATTAAAAAGACCTATCAAGCATTAGTTCTATCAAAATTAGACTACGGATCAATTGCTTACATCTCGGCAAAATCAAAACTACTACAACTCTTAGAGCCTATACAAAATACAGCAGCAAGACTAGCTACTGGCGCCTTTCGAACCAGCCCAGTAGAAAGTATACTATGTGAGGCAAACCTTATCCCGCTCAAATTCAGAAGAAAAAAATTATGTTTGAATTACGCTGTTTCTACCTCAGCTACACCACAAAACCCAATTCATAATCTGTTACAATCAAAAACCTCTGAGGAACCTTATAAAAAAAAGAAAAACTACCCAAAACCTCTAAGTATTAGAATTAAAAACTATCTACAAGAACTAAATCTAACAATCCCTCAAATACAAATACGGAAGTCTAGCAAAACCCCTCCTTGGATCAGATATACTCCAATCGTTCTTAAACTAAACATTCAAGAAACCAACCTTGAGCAAAGCACTCTAAAAAACCTTTTTAACACAAAAATTAGTCAATACAGTAACTTTACTCAGATCTACACTGACGCATCAAAATCTAAACGAGGAACAGGCTGTGCCATAATACTACCAAACAAAAATCTTGTATACAAACTACCAGACGAATTATCAATTTTCGATAGTGAAGCCTTCGCAATATTAGAAGCACTAAAACAGATCAGAGGAGCCAAACTCAAAAACTCAATAATCTTTTCAGACTCTAATAGTGTGTTATCAGCCATAGAACACCAATCTCAATATCACTATCTGGTACAAAACATCTTAGAAGCATATAACGATATTAAATCAACACACGAATCCACAGAAATAATTCTCAGCTGGGTGCCATCTCATGTAGGCATCGAACCAAATGAGAAAGCAGACTTTTTAGCTAGAAACGCAGCTGAAAATCACAATAAATACATACATCTAACCCTACCTCTTAACTACAAGGAAGCCCAAAAACTGACTAAAAATGCAATACACAACGCGTGGAACGAAAAATGGCAAAATATAACACCACAAAAACTCCATAAAATCAGGGAAAATATACATGAAAAAAGCCCGGCATTAAATTTCTCAAGACAAAATCAAATCACCATAAATAGACTGAGAATTGGGCACACGAATTTAAGCCACATACACATTATAACAAAAGGAAACCCAAACATGTGCGACAATTGCAACATCCCACTAACACTGCAGCCCTTAATTATCGACTGCCCTCTATTTCAAGAACAAAGAAGAAAGCATCACATACCAGAAGACCTTAACACAAGTCTCAACGATAAAGCTTCATCTGAAAACACCTTAGCCTTCCTAAAAGAAATCAATTTTCTACACCGCATCTAGACTCAAAAGTATAAAAATAGCAGTAACGTATATGTAATCAAAATATATGTAACGTAGTCCTAAGTCGCTAATGACCCACAAGAGGTTGATGCGACAATAAATAAACAAATTAAAAAAAAAAAAAAGGGCCGCACGCCTGGCGCTCTCGCGTCCTATGAATCACACACGCATGCGATGTGCGTCTTTATTGTTACCACACACTCAGGACGTTGACCTTGACAGCATAGTCAAGATCAAGGTCATACACGAGGTTGCCGTTTTTCTACATAATTATGCATACATAACAAAATTCAGTATATAGTATCGAATATATTTTTGCGAAGTTCGAATTGACAACATATTTCAAGGTCATTGAAATCAGTGAAGATCGACCTATTCCGAAAAATTACCGAAAAAACTATCGCTGGTATTGGATTAAATTTTTTTGGGAATAAAAGAGAACATCTTCCAGTTGCAGAAAATATTTTTTTATGTCGATAGTTTTTACAGTTTATTAATTAATGTAGAAGCTTGTTATTCTCTTCGACGATGTAACTCGCATTGGTATACACTGTAGCAACTGTCATACAGATCTGATTGCAAAAAACAAGAAATTTTTTTAAAGTTAAATAGTTAACGCTGGGATTGAACCAAACTCAAAGAAAAAATATGAATAATTGGAAAAATTATAGCGTTTGAATGAAAAATTTTT